AAATAATATCTAAAACATAAAATAGTTTTATTTTTATATAAAATACAAAATATATAAAGAATAAAAATGTATCGATATAAAAATATAGAAAGATATATAAAATATGTATAAAATAGATAAACATTGAATTAATATATCATTCAAAAATCAATATATAATTCAAAACTAAAAATAGTTTTATTTTTATATAAAATAAAATATAAGTTTTTTATATAAAAATATAAAAATATATAATATATATATATAAAAATAGAAATAGAAAAAAAATAAATAAATAGATGTAAAAAAAAAACTACATCAAATTCCCAGAAAGTCAGCAGAAAGAATCCTGCCAACATCTAAGAATGAGAAAAACAGGACTGAAAGGATCTTGCTGTAATTGCACAGCCAAATCCATTTTTTAAAAAACTGCTATCTCATGAAAAATCTACATTTCTGAGGAAGCTCTTGAGACACAACCAGATCATTTTTGGGTCATTCATCACCACAACAATGAATCCAATGGCAGATTTTTTCCCTTCCATGCACTCCAGATGCCAAAAACAACACAACCACATTTCATCTGGAAGCAACAGCAATTGTTCTTTTCTTGTAAGCGCATTAAATTTAATCTTGATCCTGGAAAGGCAAGAATAATGTTCTTCCCTTGGTTTATTAGAGAGGTTGTAATTCAGCAGGATTTCAAATGAGGAAAAAGCAAAAAAAGAAAACAATCACAAAGCCTCCAAATTGCTTTGGTAAATAATTTCTAGAAAAAAATAAAAGGAAATATCAGAAGACACTGAGAGCAACAACAACTAAAACACATTTTCCTGCTTCTGGAAGGTCTAAAAAATGAGCAAGGCTCCTTCCTGAGCTCCTTCCCCACCTGAAAAACAGCACCTTGCATTTTTTGGAATTATCCCAGAACACTCAGCCACCAGCCCCTCTTTTGCCAACTTGATTTTGTTTTCCAGCTGCTGAATTTTGCATTTCCAGGTGCTCTGAGCCACTGCTTTGGCAGCCCTCAAAGCTTCCTGGTGCTCGTAGCTTTCTACAGAATATTAAAATATTTCCAGCTGCCTTTTTTCCCATCTAAAAATTAAAAATTCATGGAGATCCTCACATGCTTCACAACCTAAATTCACCTATGATTCAATCTGCAGGTAAAAAAAAAAGGATTTATCCAAATTGCAGCTAAACCCCTCAGAGCAAGAGGAGAGATGAATTTGCACAAATGCCTGGGAGAAGCAAGGTGGAGACTGAGCAGGATGGCACAGTCAGGATGGCTGTGAGTATTTATTTAGAATATTTCTATTTATTTTACAAGATTTATTTATATTTATTTAGAATATTCATATTTATTCAGAAGATTTAGATGTATTTATTTAGAACATTTATATTTCTTTATTTAGAATATTCATATTTATTGAGAATATTTCTATTGATTTAGAACATTTCTATTTATTTTGAATATTTTTTTGTTTGATCATCTCTCTAACCCTCTTCTCTCTCACGTGCTCATGGAGCAGCCGTGTGGGAGCTGCAGGGTCAAATTTAGGCAGCAGAATTCCCACTAAAATGAAAGTGTGTCCATGCAAATAACCCAGAAACACGAACAGCCCCTCAGGGTCTCCTCACAAACTCAGGCCAGGATTTTGTACCAGACACACAGAGGGAACTGGGC